CCGGAGTGGAGATGGAACGTAATTACAAATGGGCACTGAGCATCTTTTTTCTACTGTTAGAAGTGTTTTAAGTTTGGATTGGTTGTTCAACTCTATAATTCACTAAAAATCATTAAATTATGTACTTAAAATGGGTAAATTCTGTGGTTTATGAATTACACCTCAATCATTTTAAAAAAACATTCTTCCTTTACATGAAGACTTAAATAGGTTTTCATTTTCAACAACTGGGACCACAGATGACTCCCAATAAAAACACAATAATAACAAAAATAAATAAATACATAGAATCTCATTGAAAAGAGTAGCATCATTAAAGGCAACCTGAATGAAGCAAAGAGTCTTTAAAGGGGAAAAAAACGCAACCTCAAATGTAACAGGAGCACTTTGTGATTGGACACTCATTCTCCCGACTGGTGGTTCCAGACAGCATGCAGGAGTCTGGCTTGGGCAGAAACTTAGCAGTGTGAAGGAGCGCTTTGGAAGTCAGCAGGACTTGAAGAGGGGTTAGGAAACATGTGAAGCAAAAGCACAACTATACCCAGCTTGCTTAGGACCAGGGCAATGTGCAGACACTTTTCACTCCCTACCTATGAATAGGCTAACTAGTCAGCCACTAGATGAAACTTGCTGAAAGTAAATGAATGAGTTGCGTGGTTCCTCCTACGAACTGAGATGTAACCAAACACTTTGAGGTTGGCTCAGGGGTTACCTTACTTGAACCAAAACGATTTGCAAGTTCTGTAAACTAGTGCAGAGTACAGTAAAAACCCTGTGTCCCAGTCCAAATGTCCTAAATCAGCCACTCTTGTCTGGAAGTTCTCTGCTTGTCAAATTTCTAGGCTAATGTGGAGCTCTTGCAATATGAAAGTTGCCATGACAACTGAGGGGAAAGTTTTGGTCAACAGAATATAATCCAAAAAAAAAAAAAAAAAAAAAATCTTTAAGCAGCTTCTGCAAGCCAAAGGGAATTTGAATGATTCTCAGTTATAAAACCTGGGAATCACAAGTCAAGAAACAAACATTCAAATGAGTCAAATTGACAAAGAAGGAAACATGGTCAGCCCAACCACGCTGCTTTACCATGAGACACTTTGCACATAAGTTGCTCAAGAAATGTTTGGTGGGTTTGATCTGATTGAGAGAGCTCTAAATCCTTATTCCATGCCCCAAAGAAGAATGAGCATGACTCATGGAGCTGAGATCCAACTGCACTAAATGGATATAGATTTCTGGAAATCACAGTACTTGAAATGAGTGAACTTTTATTGTTGTGCTTCCTCAACTACTCTTCAGTTACATTAATTAGTATTTGCTTTGACATTTATTCAAGTAAAAACTGCTTTTGCAAAAATGTAGTTCAATTATGACAAAATAGAAAATGAAACATTTTAAAACAACTTACTTCTTTTTGTGTGTGTGGTGCTAGGGATTGAACCAGGGCTTTGTGAACCGAGGCAAGCCCTTACCAACTAAGCTATATCCCCAGCCTACAAATTACTCTTGAAGAAAAATTCTGCATAATGGAAATTTACTTATTTTTTTTTAAAAATGAATTAATTATTCTCTCTTTGTCTGATTTTCTCTCTTCCATTTTTATCTATGTGCCTCAGGGAGCTGACAGCACCCCAGCTTCAGGGGGAGGCTGGGACTAGGCCTGGCTAATCAGAAGTTTTACACTCCTCTAGCCACATGATTGGTTCAAGGTTCAGTATAAACACATTGGTGACTGGTTCAGTGTATACACATGACTGGTTCAGTATAATACATGTGACCCAATCAGAATCAAGAGGAGTAATGTTGGTTTATTCCCTGAAGGAACCAAAATAGCTCTTATAATTTAATCATGTCTATCTCTTGGTTCGGAGTCACTGTGTCATACTACCAACAGCACTCCACCAACATATAGAACTTGGCTTTTTATTTTAAATTTGGCCCAGGTTCCTGAAAGTTACATAACCTTGGACAAATCATGTAATCTTCCTGGGCCTTATTCTCCTCATCACAAAATTTCTTGAGAGTTTCTGTGAAGATCTTAGAAAGGATGAATACATGAAGACACTTCATAAATGACAAAGCTTTACCGAAATGTTAAATCCAGGCCTTTTGCTATCACAGTAGCCCAAACTGGATTGATCATGCAGGGATGTTGGGGCCTGTTCAATGCCCTTGTAAACAAAGCATGTTACCAGAGGAGAAGAATATCTGAAGCCACAGGATGTCAAAACCAAAAAGGACTTAGAGGATACCAGGTTCAACCCCCTCATTTTACAGATGAGGAAACTTGTTCTATCTACCCTTGAAAGGGAGGAAATGAGATAAGAGATAAGAACAACTATTGCAACCATTCAGCTGGGCTCTCCACATTAAATTAGAGCAATCAGATAATAAACTATGACCTTTTAATCCAGAGACCATGCCTATGTTTAGAGAATGTGATTATCTTTGTCCTGCAGTAAACAGCTTCACCTGCAGAAAAATGATAGCTACAGTAAAAAAAAAGTAAAAATAACAAAATAACAAAAAAAAAAAAGGAAAAAGTTTCCCAGCGGTCCATTTTTTTTTTTTTTTACATAGCTCAGCCTTGTGAATTCTAAGTGGAAGGAAAAGAAATGAACAATTATAAAACTTGCTAAGCCATGTGTCTGAAATAGATCACAATGGGGTTAATTTAATTTTTTTTTTCATTTTCCCTGTCAGTGAGAACCACTCCCACCAAGAAATTATCTGCCAAATAGTGACTTCACTTATGATGCCGGCAATGTGATGTTCAACAGCTGACATTTGACAGCTTTCAAAAAATCTGTCCCATGGCTTTCACAGCAAAAGTAGGGTTGCAAAAATCAAAAGCTGTACATGTTCTATTCAAGAACTTTGTACAGATGTGAGTTATTGAAAAAAAATCACATCTGGTCAATGTTTTTTTAAAGATTACAGTAATAAAACACGTAGCACTTACTAGATATAAAAAGTAGTTTTTGTATATTAGGTAACTTAATTCTCACAACAACTTTATGAAGGAGGTGCTACTTTTAAGATCCACACATTTGAAACGAGGCCCAGAGAAGTGGAGGAACTTTCCCGAAGTCTCCCAGCAGGTAAGCAGTGAGCTGGGATTTGAACCGACAGAGCTTGATGCTTGTGCTCTGACAGCTTAACCTTACTGACTTTCTTCTGATTGACTCATGCATAGAATACCTTATATTTTCTTCAGCAAATAACTTATGAATGAAATTAAACTGAATTGAAACTGCTCTTCAAATTCATGGTTCTAGAAGACCTTTTTGATCACAGCATCAGCAGAGGATAGAGTAAGCAGGCCGGCCTTGGAGCCAGGCAGCTGGAGTTCAATTACTGCCTAGGAGTTGTTAAAACCTTGGGCAACTTCCTGCACCTCTCTATGCCTCCGTTTCTTCATCTGTAAAATAGTACCTAAATGTCAGAGTGTTTGGGGGACTTAAGAGATAGTTTATGTGAATGCGTATCCCTGTGTCTGACACAGAAAATGCTCAATAGCACCAGTCACTCTCATTGTCATTATCAACACCATTATCACCCTGTATATCAGGAACCACTTTACCTCTGCTTAACTCCTTTCACCTCATCAGACTCTTATTCCAATCACCCTTGCCTTGTCACCTCTTAGTCTCCGCAGCTCATACTGCATGGGCTCCAGGCTGCTTTTCACATTGGCCGCCTAAATGCATCACACCTGAGACCCAGCTATGCTCCTGCCACCTCCTCCCTTGGGGCTTCTGTTGACACCAATTCATGAGACTCCAGGAGAAGTTGCTTTTCATGCAAGGATATGCAACCCAGAAGTGCTGAGCAGTCAACCCCCCAGGAGTCAAAATCTGGAGTGTGCTAAAGCTGCTGCCTTAACAAGGCACCACATACTGAGTGGCTCCAACAATAGAAATTTATTTTCTCATAGTCCTGGGGGCTGTAAGTCCCAGATTAAGGTGTTTCTCCAGGTTTACTTCCTCCTGAGAGCCCTCTCCTGGACCTGCAAATGGATTCTGTCTCATTGTGACCTCACATGGCCTTTTCTGAATCTCACACAATCATCTCACACAATCTGCAAGCCCAAATTTCCTCTTCTTATAGGGGCACTAATCAGATTAGATCAGGACCCGCCCCAACTGGCTCATTTTAAGTTTTTAAAAAATTTTTATTTGTTCTTTGTGGATATACATGACAGTAAAGTATATTTTGACATATTTATACAAAAATGGAGTACATCTTATTCTAGTTAGGATCCCAGACTTGTGGTGATATGAAGATTCATTGTGGTATATTCATATATGAATATAGGAAAGTTGTGTCAGATTCATTCAACTGTCATTTCATTTTAATCACCAATTTACAGGCCCTCTCCCCAACTAGCTTAGGACTTCAACATATGCATCTTAGGGGGACACTGTTCAACCCATAAAAGAGGGTCCCTAAATACATTTCACTGGATTCCTTATAAGGTCCTGTGGATCAGAGCAATCAGTTGACCTTAGTGTCCAACTTACCCTTCCCTGGTTGACATACCTGTCCCTCTTCAGGGTCACACCCACTAGTGGAGTCTGTACACATAAGCCTTAGTCTCAGGCCCTTCTCCCTAGGGATTTAAAACTAAGACATCAAATGGAAATAGTGGATAGGGTCCTACGGTAGGGCCAACCAAATATGTCCCATGTGGTCCCAGCTGTACTTTCAACCCTCACTACCCAGAGGGCACTGGACTCAATGTGTACTAGCCAAACTGCAATATGTATGTATTCTCCTTTGCCCTCCCATGACATAAATCTTTACCTAATCACAAGAAAGAGTTCCTTCCTCCCCTAAAAATTCTATGAAAAAAAGTCACCTTCCTATGATGACCTTCCTAATCCTTCTAGAAATGAGGGATTATCTCCATAGAATTCTACATGAGCAAATATTCTGGGTAAATTGGGTGAGGAAAAAAACAGGTCCTCTGTTTGCACTAAAAGAAGAAAGAAAATCACACAGTACTTCCAAAAGTATTTAATATGGTGTTCAAGTATTATATACATATGTATGAAAAGTTTATGGATATACATCTGGTCAATCCCAGATTTTAATTAAAATACATCTTTTATTAGTCAAAACATGTATGGTAGTCAAGCCAACAGAGGGAACTGGATTGACACACACATGCTCTTGCACGCATTTACACAAACACACACTTCTTAGCATTCTGTTATTTTATACCATGTGGAAGCAGCAGGATGTGATGCAAATGGATTTTTCATGTATTTCTCTTGGCATGGTGGCCATATTTAATGTAACATCCAGGAAAGCAGAAATTTTAATTTAGTTTATGGCCTGACCATCTGTATTTGTTTGGAATTTCTGTCTCCTCAAAGCAAAAATGTGAACCTGGCTTTCGACCTGGAAATGTCTCAGGCTGCAACCAAATGCATTACCAACAAGCTGCAAATAAGTATTCTGAAATATAAATTCAGAGGAGAAGAAGTTGAAGCCTATTGTCAAAATGTAACAAAATACCTGAATTTTAATTATATAGTCACTAGTTTATTCTGATATACTTCAAGGAAGATAAAAGGGAAATTTCACATGTTTTCAAGGGAAGAAAACATTTCAGTATCAATAAACTGCCCAAGAGCTGTTTGAATATATTTACTTATTTCTATGGGTTCTGATATAATTTTCCTATTAGTCTTCAGTTCTTTGCATTTAAAAAGGGAGGTGAGCCATGTGTAATCCATAGTCAAATCTCTTAGTTAATCATGTAGATTTCTTTAAAACAATAAAAATTCACTAATATTTGCCATATCAGAACAGTGAATGTGGCCAATACAAATTACTAAAAAATATTTCTGTGCATTTGGAAGCACTCTTTTAAATATTTTATAGTATAGACATAACTGAGAACCATGGGCTCTAGCTTACCCTTTGGAAGATGAATTGAGTGGCCCATAGTTCCCCTTTATATTCCTTATGAAGAGTTTTCCAATAAATCAAAGGTATAAATAGAAGCCCAATTTTAAATGGCGAATCTGGATGAAAACCCTGGAACAGCCTCGCCCAGCACCCTACTAAAATTCACAGGAAGGCCCCTGAAACAAAAATTCCCAGTACCAACAAGGACAATCAGGTAGGTCTTCCAAATCTTGCCACCCTCTTCTCAGGTGGAAGGCTTGCGTTCTTTCACTACCACCTTGACTCACAAAGTCAAGATCAAACAGAAATATGAGTCCCAGGCCAAGCAGAAAAGTGGTAACTCAAAACTGTGACTGCTGCTTTTTAAGGCCGTCAGGGCTCCCATGCAGGGATGAAAAAGACAGACTGCTGTTGTGAAAGGTACTTTTTGAACAGTACAGAGAAACAGGGAAGGGGGAGAGGAGACCAGGGCATTGAACCCCAGGAGGGGTGTGGCTCTAAGAAAGTGCCTTGGTAGGAACAGGAAAACACCAGCTTTTTAATGTATTTCCCATTTAGAGTGACAAAGACCAAGAAGTGGGTCTCCATGCATTCTAGAAAATCCAGTCTAAGAAACTCCTGTGAGACCACAGAAACGGTCCTCTTATCCTACATCAGGTGGGGTAAATGCTACAGAGGAAGGGGAAGAGAGGGGGAGAGGGAGGGAGAGCAGAAGGTGGGAGGGGTGTAGGTGACCAGGGAGAACCTCCCTAGGGAGGTGAAATGCAGCAGCCTCCTTCAGGGAGGGAGGAAGCCAGTGTGCAGAGGTGGTGGGAGGAGCTGCCCAAGCCTGTGGGTGAACATCAGCCTCCGCCGGTGCCCACTGCTCCTGGGGTGGGTGACTCCTGTTTGGTCCTTTCAGTTCAGTCAAGGCCCAAATGGCAGAACGTGTTTCTGCCAACGGCATCTCTACCACGCATCTCCCTCTTTCTGAACCCTAGAACCATCTTCACTACTGACCTTTCCATCCTTGGGCAACAGATTTCAAAGCCCAGCCTTCAATGACAGAAAGGCTGCAAGAGAAAGGGGGAAAAACTGAATTACACAGAGGGGAAAACATATTCAGGGACTTACAAAACAAGCAGAGAGAACAAAAGGTTATCTACAAAAGGATACAAATTGGGTTTACCTCAAAGTTGGCCTCGACTATAGTAAATTCTTTTTTTTTTAATTTTTATTAGTTATTGATGGACCTTTATTCATTTATTTGTTTATATATGGTGCTGAGAATTGAACCCAGTGCCTCACATATGCTAGGCCAGCACTCTACCACTGAGCCACAACCCCAGCCCCTATAGTAAATTCTTGACGACAATGAAAACATGACATATCTACAGACTTTACAAAAAGGATCATGACACCAGAATTTATGCACACAAATACACACCCAGGTTATAGACAGATTGGTAGATAGATAGACAGGTTGAGGTTCTTATCCAAAAGTTTTTTGGATTTTGGAACTTGGGGAATTCTGGAATATTTGCATGTACATAATAAGATTGCTTGAGGATTGAACCCAAGTCTAAAGACAACATCCATTTATTTCATACATGCCTTTATACACATAGCCTGAAGATCATTTTATACAATGTTCTTAGTGCACCTGCATTTTGGCCTCACATGAGGTCAGACGTGGAATTTTCCACTTCTGGTGTCAAGTCAGTGCTCAAAAGTTTCATATTTGGGGACGTTTCAGATTCTGAACTTTCAGAGGAGGATGCTCCTCGGATGGAGGAGGTAATAAGTCATTTTCAAGTATATGATGTCTCAGAAAGTGAATCATCCTTATATCCTACTTGAGATTTCTAGAAAATATATTCAGGTGATCAATACATAGATGAAAATTAAAAGCTTCAAAAAGAAGTTGCTGTAGCTAAAAGGCCAGAGAAGTCCTCAGCTACTCACGTAGGGAACAGAAATGCAGAGCTCCCACTGGGTTGGAGCCAAAGTGTGGCCCTACAGGCCACTGTGGCTTCTGCTGTGGCTCCTGTCTGCATTCCAGTGCCAGGAAATGGGCTTGTTGAGCCATATCCTTCAACTTTCAGTTCAGAGGAAATCTTTTGCATGTTTAATGGCCACTTAAAACAGTAATGAATAGTGTTCTCTTCCAGCACTTGCTATTAATAGCTCCACTGGTCACTCCATGAAGAAAATGAACCAGAGGAATTACTTTTCAAAGGTATTTTCCCTGCACAAAAGCAGAATGACATAGTGCAACATAATGATGCTTTTTTTTTTCTCTCTCTCTCTCTCTGCCACAAATGATGGTTTTCTGCACTTTTAAAAGTCATACTGAGAGTCCTGAGAAAAGATGATTAATCCACTAGGTAACACACATGACCTGTCACTAAGCTTCTTCACATGTGTTCCTGTCTCTTAACCAAACTTTAATACAGCATATTTCCAACTGCAAATAAAATAAGTAAATTAAAATGAAGAAGGAGAAGTACAAGTTGAAGGAAGAGGACAGAAGGAAATGCACCAAAATTTTAAAGAAAAATACAGTGTCTCCGGAGGATAAATCTCTAAGTGGTATTTTTCCTGCGTCATATAGTTAGCAGATATTTTAAACACAGATTTTAAAGAAACCAGCATATGTAATTTCATGTGTACCATGTAATTGCAACTATGGAAAAATGAATACCTTAAAAGGAAGAAAATACATCGCAATGTATTTGCAGGTGAGACTATGGAGAAATTCTTCCCCTTCTCTTTATTTTTAGTTTCCAAATTTTTAATAGGAGTTTATATTATATCTGTAATGGAAAGAAATTTTTCTTAAATTAAAATAAGATGGTGAGTGATGTGAATTTATCTAAGGAGAGCAAACAGACAGCTATTTGGATGCTAAAAAAGTAATTGCTAATTATAAACAATTCTCTCTTTCACCAAAACTGATCAGGCAGTTTCTACTTATACTTTTCAGTAGGAGCCAGTGTTGTTAGCTGCAAAGAGTTGAATTTCTTTTATATATTTTAGAATTCAATATGTAAATTCTCCAGGGCGTTAAAAAAAAAATGTGTACTGAGTGAACCCAAATTAAAAATAATTTTCTATCCGTTGGTTACCCTCAAGATGAGTTAAGTGCTCAGACCTTTCTAGAGCCCAAGCAAATCTTATTAGGTGCTCGGAAGGAGTGTAGAAGCTTTGTGCAGCCTTCTTCAGACAAGCGAGTTCAGTTTTGTACACAATCTTATTTCTTAAATCCTCTCCAACCTTAGAAGCTAACATTAGAAAGGATGCTTATTTCCCGAACTCGCTGAAGGCAGCAGATATTCAACATTTGTAGAATTGAAAAATCTTTATTGGAGGATTGGAAATAACAAAAAGAAACAAGTAAAAAAAAAAAAAAAAACAACTAATGGTGAAGACTTCAATTCCAACTGGATGTGACAATCATAGAAAATATCCTTCCAAAGACCAGTGGCCTATTGGTCTCTGGCCATGTTGTCACCATTTTGAGGTGAACAGTGCCTTCACCGATATGATAATCCTAGGCCAGGTTTCTTCTCCCAGAGTCCAATCCCCAGCCAGTGCTTGAGTGAGGACTTTGAAGTTCAAGATCTTTTGCCTTCTGGATGGGTAACCATCCGGGAAGCCTTACCTTCAAGAAATCCACCTCTTATCACCAACAACACAGAGCATCAGAACCCAGGCAGACCTAGAACCTTCTCCATGTTTGGGAATACTTTGTGTCTGAAATAACCCTAGGAGGGGGTCACATGTGGAACTACAGTTGTGGGCTTTGGACTCCAAAGCCCACCCTAGGGTGGCTTTTTACCAGTAAAGAGAAAATCAATCCCCAGTACCAGCTCTCCTGGCACAAGGAGAGTAACTCTTTAAGAAGCAAATGATGTTCAGATTCAAAGTAATCTAAATCTATATTAAGAACAAAGAAGTATTTCCTAAAAGAAACACACTGCCAAGATTTCACTTTGCCAATCAATTTAGCTGTCCATTGTCTACAATCTGCGCACTTCTGAAAGGAGTTTTACTTTCCCTTTGCATTACCGAATAGCCTATTAAGAAATTTCCCAAACAGGACTTTCTCAAAGTGGAAATCAAGGCACACTCTCTCTAGATTTGTTTCTCAAAGCCTCCCACAGCTGCCTGGCCTCAGAATGACCTAGAAAGTTTTAGAAAAAATGTAGATTCTCTAGGACCTGCCAAAGATCTTCTGAATCAGAATTTCTTAGGAACATGCCCCAGATTTTACATTTAAAAACATGTTTCCTGTTCTCCCTTTGGCAACACGTATTCTAAAACTGGAACAAGATTAGCCTGGCCCCTGTGCCAGGATGACCCATGAATTTGTAAAATATTCCATATTTTTAGTGTTTTCCTCCAAATTTGTGCTCCTTGTATCACTTAATAAAAGGTTGACAAAATTCAGAAATAAACAAAAACATATTTCCAATGGAGAATATATGGCTTGCCATAGTTTGCATTCATAAGCAAATGAATAAATGAATATAGAAAGGAGTTTCCTGAATGATTCTAATGCAAACCAAAATCTCATGATTTTACTCTAGAAGAATGAACTGAAGTTGGGATTTTTTAAATCATTATTAATCTGCTATTCCATATTTCTCCATTAGCATTCTAAATTATTGGGGTTCAGACTCAGCTCGAAATCCTGTTGAATATAATTTGAAAGAGAGGAAAACAAGTCAAGAAATGCTCTTTGGCAGAATTCACAAGCACTCTTGCAATCTGACCACAGCCGATATTAATTGAGCATTTATGTGGTCCATCTATTTTGCATACATTATTATATCTACTCCTCATGACAAATTGATTAAATGACATAAAATAGATAGCATCTTTCATTATAGATATCATTATCCTCATTTTGTAGTTGAAGAAACTAAGACTAAGAAAGCATTCCAACCAAGGTGTTAGAGTTTGGATCTTAACTGACCCCCAAAGGCCTGTGTATGAAAGTTTTGGTTTTCAGGATGGCAATATTGGCAAGTTGGATGGTAATATTTGTAAGTTGTGGAACCCTTGAAGGTAGGCCCTTGTGAGACATCTTTAGGTCATTAAGAATTGTATCTCAGAGGAGGATTTTAGGACCCTAGCTCATCCAGTCTCTCTACTTTAAGTGGTTTTGCCCTACTATACACTCCCACCATGAGGTGCACCAATGATTGGCAGCTGTTACTCCACAGCTTTACCTGGACCAGCTGATATGGACCTATTAGGATTCATGGTCACTGACAGTCCTGTGATGCTAGTAGCTGAGCTTTCCAGAGGATCTCTATGTATAAATAAAGTGGCCAGAAATGGTAACCACTAAGAATATGGTTATGTTAGTCAGCTTTCAGCCACCGTAGAGAAATACCTGAGATAATTAATTTATAAAGAGAAAAGTTTTATTTTGTCTCACAGGTTTGTAGATTCCAGTCCCAGATTGGACAGACTCACCACTTTGAGCCCCTTGTGGGTGCACCAGATGGCAATGACAGTGAGCATGTGACAGAGCAGATGACTTACCTCATCGAGATAGGAAACAAGGAAAGAGCCATGGTTCCACAAACTCCATTGAGAGCACAACTCCCAATAACCCAAGAACCTCCCACTAAACTCCACCCCCTAAAAGTTCCACTGCCTCCCATCGTCCCAATGGGAGGGTGGAGTAGGGTGCAAAGTCTTTATCACATAAGCCTTTGGGGACATTCAATTAAAAAACCATAGAAATGGTTGATATCAATTAAGATAGTTGTGTTTGTTCTTCCTGTTACTTTGTTGCTTTCTGCTATAAAAATAAGTTGTCCTTGAATTGTGATTAAATTTGGCAAATTAATTTTATGAGCTTTTCCTCATAAAAAAGTTAAGCCAGTGCCAGGACCTTCATTGTTCAGAAAGGAAATGACATAAAGAAGTTGTTTAACATCTGAGAAGGCAACGGAACTCTGGGAGATCACAAGTTTGGGCATTTGTTTCAGAGTATGATTTGTAATTGCAGGTTCTATGAAGATAGGGATGGTATCTGTATGGATGGTTCACTACACTTTCTCTGGAGCCAAGCATCACAATTAAAACAGGAAAGACACTCAGCATGTGTGGTTTATTTTGAACTTGAAGACTTCAGAAACCCCATTTGCTTCAGTGACAGTGATTTTGCATTTTCTAATCTCTTAGCAATAGAATTGAATATGGTAACAATGTCTTCTAGCCCAACACATATGCAAGATATCAAATATTATTTTTTCATTAAATATCTGACGAGGAAAATGGAATAAAATAAAGTATGATAGATTGGAACAGTGTTGAAGAATCAAATAAAACCAAATTCAAAAATATCAGAACAATCTTTATTACTCTTTTTCTCTTTCCTTTTGTTCTGGAATGATATTACTTTGCTCCCAGAACAATGAATCATTTGTCATCTGCATCATACTCTCGTCCAGATAAAAGAGCTATGGAGAATAGATATACGGACAAAAGATTTCTTGGGCCTAAAGATACATGAGGGCAATATACCTAAGGCTGCTGATTAATAGCAGTTATAGGAATGTCTTACTTAAGTTTTAAAGTCCAAAAAATTTATCAATTGTTCATTTGGGTCATAAATATGAAAGAAATTATTTCTCTTCATGGATTATTAAGGTAAAATGGTTTTGTTTTGTTTTCATAAGAATGTACTATTCAGGGAGTGGTAATCTGTTTATTTTTTGCACTTTATGCTAATCCAACAAGAGCCATTTATATTTCTGTATCAGAATATAAATTTATTTTGTATTAAATGAGAGAATTAAGGGACTTCAAAAGATCATAAGGTATGGGCTTTCTTGATACGTATACTATGGGCGAGGCAATACATTTTTTAAAAATCTTAAAAGTATACATGCCCTTTGTCAGGAAATGGATGGAACTGGAGACTGTCGTGCTAAGTGAAAAAAATCAATCCCCAAAACCAAAGGCCGAATGTTCTCTCTGATATGTGGATGCTAACACACAATAAGTGGGGTTGGAGGGAAGAATAGAAATTCACTGAATTAGACAAGGGGAATGAAGGGAAGGGAGAAGGTATGGGAATAGGAAAAACAGTAGAATGAATCAGACATAACTTTCCTATGTTCATACGGGAATATATGACCATGTTGTACATCATGTACAACCAAAGAATGGGAAGTTATACTCTATGTATGTATAATATTGTTCTATTGTTAGGTATAACTAAAAACAACAAAAAAAATGCATGCCCTCTGACCCAGTAACTCCACTTCATGAGATTTATAGATATGTATATAAAGGTATATATATGTGTATATATACATACACATGCTAGCATGAAATTGTCAACAACCTAGGTGTGCAGCAGTAGAAGATCAGTAAAACACTATATGGTATATCTAATAACTTGCAACCAGTGAAGTCCTATTTATGCTCATATAGAAAATTTTCATTTTTTGTTAAATAAACAAAAAGGGCTGAGAAGGAGACGGAGCAGGGTTGGTATGATACCAAAGTTCAAAATAGAATGCTTCTATGTGTGCGCACATAGACATATAAGAAAGATGACTGTCAAAGCATTAGCAGTGCTTGCAGAAGTTTCCTCCTGGCCTTAGCTCTCCCCCACAACTTTTTCATCTCTGTAGTTGCTGCAGGAGGAAATTGCATAGACCTAAGATGATAGCATCTTGCTTCAGCTAGGAGGAGGTTCTCATTGTCCTGTGGGGCATCTATACTGTCTGAGCAGAGTTAGAAGACCAAGGGGGTTCAGGTCCCATGGGGTGACTCCTTGACTTATGAAGAAAGGGAGCTAGTGGATAAATATTTCAGAGGGTATGCCAGCAAATGCTTTACAACCATAAATAGCCCTAATTTGTGGTGTTTGCCATTTTTACTGTTTAAATAACCTTATTGTAGTCAGTTTCAAGCCACCAACTTGATATTACTGAGCACAAAACTGGCATGAGAGGTGCATGATAGGCTGCACCAAGCTGGGCCAAGAAGGTACTAGCACACTTCTGGACAACTTCACTTCTTCCATCTCTTGAGTGCACAGTCTGAGGCACATGGTATGTGTCTCCTCAGGTGGTACCCAGGGAGATCTAGACCTGGTTACCCAGAGTGGTGAACAATTAGACAAAGCACCTCTGAATTGCATTTTACTCCTCCTCCCTAATCCTCCACTCTGATTTCATGGAAGCACTTCCCCAAAGAAACAACCTGCCCAGGAGACCTTGTCTCAGAATTTTCCTGGGGAAAATCAAATAAGACAGAGGTTACATGGGGTAGAGTGCTGGGTAGGTTGGATTTTTTTTTT